GCATGTCCTAATGACCTAGCTTCCTCCCACTAGGCCCCACCTCCTCTAAAGGTTTTACCACCTCCCAGAAGTGCCATAGGCTGGGGACCAATCCTTTAGCACATGGGCCTTTGGGGAATATTTAAGATTTTAACCATAACATCCATCTTTTCTCTTTTCTCTCTGCCTCCCCATTTCCTTCTCCCTTCTCTCCCCCTTCCTTTTCCTCTTTTCCTTTCCTATCTCATAATATGAATTACATTTATTTTTTAAAAAGACTTTTGATGCACTTGGCATCAATTAGGGATGGTGTTCATTGATACAATCCAGTGTTTGGCTTTTGTAGAATAAGGGAAACGAGAGAAATACAGTGTCTAATTCTATTCATGAGAGAACTGCCAAATTATAGGTCTTCTTACAGAACCTGGAATGTTTTGGGGATACTCAGACCTGGTGATTGTTCCTGGAAAAAAATGTCACCAACAAGCCTTAGTGATGGGTTAAGATGCGGCATAACAAAGAACATTATTAGCACCCATTTGTTCTTTCTGGACCATCTGATAGTCTGCTGCCAGCTCTGAGAGAGAACTCCATAAACTATTAAAATGACAAAGAACTTTCATCTGGATAAAGAAATAGAGTTTGGTTTAGCTAAATGGAAGACCATACAAATGAGAAAGGACAGCTTTCTGTGATGAATGGGCTGGATGGCTGTAAAGATCAACTTACAGAAGATTAATGGAAGGAAGATGTGTAATATCTGGACTTCCAGCTGTTGGGAGTGCTGGACTTATTGACATTGAAGATAAGCTTAGATAAAAGAAATTCAGTCCAAGTGGAGAGAAAATACTTTCAAATAAGCCTAATGCTAGCAACTAAATGAAGGCAGTAAATATATCTGTGGTTCCAGCTCATTTACTATTATAGAGGCTACAGATCATTGTAATGAACAGCAGATTATTAACCACAAAGTGCCCTATGCATCACAAGGAACTCAAGCCTCACTCTCCCACATCAAAAGAAATCCAGCTGCCTGATGGCACGGGAGCTTGTGTGCACCAGTTAGAGACCAAGCAAAGTGAGAGTATCGTAGGGGGAGGTGAGGACTGTGTCCCCTTCTCATGATCTGGATGGGCTGACCAATGCAGAAGGGTAGCAGAGTCAATATGTGATATTTGGGGGCCAGATAGGGAAAGGTGTGCAGCTTTGGGGTGGCTTCCTTGGAATGCTTACCTTCCAGGTGTTCCCCAGACCTGGCAGCACTCGGCCTAGGCACCAGGTGTATGAGGAAGACGCCTTCTGATTAGTTCAGGGACCTGCCTCCAAGTTACCTCCAGCTCCTGGAGTCTTCCCAGCTGACACCTCATGCACTGTAGAGAAGAGATGTCCCCTCCTTGGCACCCTGTCCAGATTCCTCATCCCTCCTTCCCAAAATCTGTGCACTTAATAAAGAGGTTGTTTAATGCCATTAAGTTTGGGTAGTTACGATGCAGCAATAGATAACAGAAAAGTATTTTAAAAACAACAAACATATCCCAGATAGAATTTGCCTTCAAAGAGCTTACAGTCTTAGCAGGGCTCAGTGGGAGTGCTCCAAACATGAAGCTTGGGGCTATGCTGAATTTCAAGCTGCACTTCACCTTTCCTAGTTCTGTGGCTCTGGGAGAGTGATGTCCTTTACTGCTGTGACACACAACTGAATCAGTCAGGGTCACTTCAGGTGAATGGGGACGGCTACTAAATAACCACACAGAGACAGAAAATGCCTTTTTAGGGGTATAGTGACCTCAGCTCCCACAAAGGAGGCCTGAGAGGCAGGCAAAAGAGAGAGACCATGCCTGAAACCCTCCTATTTACTGGGGAGAAGACATTCGAGAAAGTTCCACCCAAATAAGGCAAGGGATTGGGTTTTAGGGGGTTGCTTGGTGATGTCTTGTGGTCAGCAGATTGGCTGACATCTTGGAAAGCCACACCCATCTCAAGTGCTGTGTGGGGATCATAGACAGCGTGAGCGAAAAGGACATGTATGTCACACAGCCCAATCAGTTGGCAACGTCAGTCCAGTTCTCTCACACGCTCAAGTGCACATAGCTCACACACACAGCCCATGGCTGGCTTGTGACACTTCATGTCCCCATCTGTATAATAAGTATAACAACAGTAGTTTCTTCATAGGGGAGTTATTAAGAGTGTCAGACACGAAAGTCTTAAGAGTGGCATCCATAAGTGCAGGTCATCGTTGATGGTACTGTGTACCAGGCACACTTATTCTGTGGCACATCTCAGGAAAAAGGGCTCCTGATCTTGACCATATCACTAGGTCATTTCTGTTTCGAGAAAACTCTCTCTGTGTAACAAATTTGATTAACAGTTCCCATGGTTTGACAGTGATTGCACAACAGCTTCCCTTGCATCATAATTTTGCCACCTTGTTTGGTTTGTCACCTACAATGAGAAATACATTTCACATCATGACCCAGGCACAAAAGCAAACCCTATGCAAATGCTCGTGAAACAACCCCAGGTCTTACTAGGTGCCGTGTAGTCTTAATTATTTTTTTCGATTCTGTTCTATTAATTTTTTTCAAAATCCACTGAATTAATCTAATTTCACAACCTGGTAATGGGTCAACACCTGCAATTTGAAAAATCACACAATCAATAATAATTTTTAGATAGTTTCCGTGACGGTTACTCTTATGTGTCAACTTGACTTGGCTAAGGGATTCCCAGACACCTGGGAGAGCACTGCTTCTGGTGCAATGTGCGTAACAGAGATAAGCATCTGAATCAGTAGACTGAGTGGAGAAGATGGCGCCATGCCTGGTCATCT